GCATGTGTTGTGTCCAAAGACTTGCTCGAGCATCCATCAAAACATCAAACCCCCTAGACAGAATACATTCATGATCATGAGTTGAAAACTGGGTTTCCTGTACACAACCTACATTCACCCCAAGATGCTGGAGGTCATGAGTGAGCCTTGCATCTGTGAGACTCAAACCTCAGGCCCCTGGCATTCACACTAGCTAACCAGAGCACCATTATCAGACTGATTAGGATTGCTCTTCTGTATTGAACATGGCTGGGGTGAGGACACTGACGACCTGTCTCATTGAACCTGTTCCCATCACACTTTTGATGGTACCATCAGAAGACAGGCCATCAATGTCCCAGGGGAAAGTCAGTTTTAAAGCTCTATACAGGGTGGGGAAACAAAAAGTGGGAGCCTCCCTGAACAATATTGCTTCAATTTTTTAACATTGTCATCATCAAAGAAAGCTAACTGGGGAAGCATCCCGAAAACATGGTTAACCTCCTTGATCATAGGCCATATTTGTTGTCCCTTCAACACTAGATCTCACTACAGTCAATATTCTTTTCGCTTTTGGAAAGTTTTTAGGATTTTTACAGTTTTCATTTTCATTAAGCATTTCAAATCTTTTATCTTCCCTGACTGCGTTGTTGCCAATTTTTCCAGACGATTGTTACGGTACTTTTAATGCCTCTTTCAGTTGATGAAGTTTCTCTGCCTTTTCTTATTTTGCTTGTCTTAGCACAAGAGAGATAGGGGAAGATAGTGTGCCACCTACTTGATGAAGTTGTGTGGTTAATAAATGGTGGAAAAAGGGGTAGAAGCTCTAGCAAAGGGAGAGAAACTGCTATGGGCTTCAAGGAATAGAGAGTTTTGGAAATCCATGGTTGGTCATGTCCTGAAGAGATCACTCACACATAGAAGAAGAAGAAGAATTCTATCCTTGCAACAACTTCTTTAAACAAGGCATATGTACATTTTTTATTTTAACACATCTTCTTATTCTCATATGACTCCTGAACTTATCCCATCCAAAAATTGTCCAGGTCAGTGCAGTAATCTAAAACGATAGATCATATTTTAACTTATTTCATATTTTAAAGATGTAAAAAATTTTGATGAAATTTCATTAATAAAATTACCGCCCCCAAATTATCTATATGTTAACAGAATAAACTCTATTGATCTACCTGCTTATATAAGGTGTCTTACACCACAAAAGAAAAAAATGAAATAAAGTTTCACCCATTTTAAAGGGCTAAAGAAAATGGCAACTTACATCATCAAAACAAGTGACAGTATGTTTTATGTTATCTGCCAGTGAAAAAAGGAAAGCTCATGTGATTTCTCACTTTATATAAAGAACAACATTTTCTGTTCCAACTCAACCAATCATTGACTTTCTAACTTACATATATGACAAGTTCTTTTTTTCTCTGTTTGCTGTGGTGTGTGAAGGACAGTTTTGTGGTTTTTGATGAGCAAACTTTTGTTTTTATTTTTGCCTCTTCCAGAATTCTTCAGGTTAAAGGAGTAATAAACTCAAAATAGCAAATCTTATGTCTTTTTTGTTTTCATCCACTCCTCTTTTTTCCTTTCAACTGATTTTTTTCGTTTTTCTTTAGCTTTCTTTCTTCCTCTCTATATTTTTTGCTTCTCAACTTCTTTCCTCTTCCTCCTCTCCTTTGCACTTTGCAATTCTATTGCATGTGGAAATCAACAGACAGGCAGTTGGTTGTATATTTGTGTATAACAGTTTACACAGAGTGCCCAGACATTAAATTGATCCTAGATAGACGTGCCAGGAAGCAAAACAAAGTGACAAAATGAAAACATGAACAAATAATATTTGAATATATATATATATATATATATATATATATATATATATATATAAATATATTTTATTGTTATTTATATAGTTATGTTATTTATATAGACACAAATATTTAAGCAAATGCTCTGTTAATTAAAATAATTGTCGCACTTAGTACATTTTATAATATATCTATACATGCATACACACACACACACACACACACACACATATATATATATATAATGTGTGTGTACAAAAATTATATATAAATCAAATATATCTGTAAAAAGACAATATGGATAGAGACAAAATTAAATACAGAGACATAAGTTCAACCATAATTTTGATCTCAAGAATGCTATTATTAAAAGAGAAAATAACTTAGACAGAAAATTCTTGAGAGTGCAACTATCAATTCTTGCCAAAATGTTAATTACACCCTGGATTTTTTAAAAAATATCTCCTTTTTTTTAAGGAAATACAACATTAATAAGCCAACAAACATGACCAAAGAATTTTTAAAAATTAAAAGAAAACAGTTAACTCAAGATCTATTATTTAAACTAAATAAATACATAAATAATTTATTAAATTAAAATGAAATAATAAAAAATAATTACATTAATAAATAAAAGTAAATAAATAAATATATAAACAAATAAGAAAATAAAATTTAACAACAACAATAACAACATTTACTCG